AAATTTGGAAAATCAAACAGGGAAAAAGTCCATTTTCGAAAACTACGTTACGTCGCCTTCCTAATTGGTCAGAATGCCTATGAATAAGCTCGAAGAATTTGCTACACATAAGCAAAGAATGCTCTAGCTTCTATTGCGCTTCAGAAGTGCTGAAACTTTAAAAACATCATTTCTGTAGACTTCACCAAAATCTTTTTCCTAACGCCTTTTCAACGTTGGTGTTGGGCACCATCTGAAGGCATACTGAGGGAAGGCGATGGGCGAATCATCCAGAAATGACAGAAGGGATGGTTTGTGGCTTCAAAATTATCGATTTCGTAGGTTAAATACTCAAAATTCGAATTTTGGGAGCCACACAGCTTGGGCACGCGAGACGGCGAACATCGCCGTGACAAAGTCTTGCCTTGCCGACTTCTTAAATAAACGTCATTAAATAGCCGGTGGAAGGAAGGGAACATGCGCAAACAGTGATAGAATAAGTGCAAAAGTCTAATAGATTGTTTTGGTTGTTGTCAAGCTTGTTTCATAAGTTTTACCAATAAAAATCGAAAAAAATTTGGAGCAAAAAAGATGTCGAAAATTGATTTTTTGGCTCTTTGGATTTTTTATTTCAATGATAAAAATCTTTTTCAATTTCCTGCTATCTTGCTGAATGATGTATAAAAGCCTGTAGAGCAGACTTAGAGCTTTCAAAAGCATATACGCTTTATCTCAAATATAGTCAATGTTGTCAAGAAAAAATTAAAACAAAAAATGGGACAGAACTTATTACACAACCTAATATTTGTTTTATGTTCTGCCCTATCTTGAAAATCTACGTAAAATTAATTTTAAGCTTACACAACATCTACTGTCGCCCCAAAGTTTTGGTATCTTTTCCAGAAAGTTCTATTTCTTAGCAGTCTTTAGCTTACTCTTTCATAATATTTGATTTTGAGAAGCTTCAACTTGATTTTTCCAAAGCTTACCAAAAATGTTCTTTTGCTCAAAGTGACCATTTGAAATGTGATGTGCATTAGCGGATGCGGTATAATATGCTAATGACAAATGTGTCTCCATTATCTACAGAGCCAATTCCAGAGAAGTTATGGGCGTGTTTGAGACGAAAATTCGGAAGTGCGGCTGAAATAAGACCGTCCAGATCCTCGTTGTGCTCAAATGAACACATCACTACTAGGACCGGCACTTTTAGCACTAAACAACCTGGATATCGTTGTATCTTTTGGTAAGATCCAGAGCGAACACCTCGGAAAAATAACAATCAATGTTTCCTGCATCAGAAATTGTCCGTTCACACATCCTCAATGATTTGAACAAATCAAGACGTGGCTATTACTTACGTACTCTGACGCGATTTCGCGCAGCGCGTGAGTGCAAAATTGTGCTCCAAATAAACAACTTTCTCACGACGATTCCTCAGCGATATGCCACATATCGTTTGGTGTACACATGCACTTGAGGGAAGTCGGATCACGTCTGAAATGTTTAGAAGAGAGTAACGGATCGTTGGTTTCAAGCTTTGACAAAGTAAAACACGTCAGCGCATGTCCGTAGATGGTGATACATATATTGAGAAACTTTGTGAGATAGGCTGTAAAGGTTCCAGTTCCGGTTCCAGCTCATTTTAACCGTGTTACTACTTCATTTGTACGCTATCCGTTCTGAACGGTTTCATTTCAGGTTCGCGTTCAAAATTTCGTCCTATGAAACGTTTCACAACCCCACACAGGGAGACGATACCCAGTATTTTATAACTATTTGTAATTAGCACAACATTCTAAGTACATTGATTATATGTGCCATCGACTGCTAAGGCTTGGCTGAAAACAATGGTCAATTCTGTTCAGAAATTGCACATTTTAGCAATTCGAGCTCATAATCTACGTGATGCTTATTATATTTTGCATCACCCTAGTATACAGCTGAGTTCCGGGCATGCGACTTCAGCATCAGAAATTTTCATTTCTTGTTTGCTTATGGTGGGTTAGTGTTTCTGGTCAATGTATAGTTTGAGTGCTCCACTGAGATATTATTGCTCAGAACGAAGCTTCTTGAGAACCAAAGCATGCAAAAGGCTAAAGATATGCGCCTGAACTCAAAATTGTTCGTAGCATACATTCAAGTATGGGGAAGGAATGGTTAGGGGCGGTGTTTGCCACTTTGTATGAATTCTTTCATCATTTCTTTTAGCCCCAAAAATGTAGCACAAGATCAATGTTTGTAGGTGTCTATCTGAAAAGTGGTTAAAAGTATTTTCAAGCAAAATTTGGTTCTTGGCAAAATCAAATTTTTGGAAATTAGCATTAGACTCTCTCTCCAAATAATGCGCTATGTGAATGTTCTGAGTTCAACCTGAACGAATTTTCCACTGTTTTCTTCATTTCAGGTCGGCTCATATTGATTAAGATTCCACCTACTTTTTGCAGTGCTGATTCCAAGCGCGAATCCATTCCTCGCAGAACTTAATATTCAAGTCTTTTTTTCTAATTTCTCATTCAGGCTTCTGCTTGGAAAACTCCGTTCATTGCAGTGAATTTGAGAACAAAAGACCAAGTCATGGGACTTTTCTCTTTTGCTCTCTTTGCTTGTTTGGTTGTTAAAAAAGAGGGACTTTGGTTAAGGAAAGACGCTATAGCATTATCAGTCAGGACCTTCCAAAGTTGAGGTTTGTTGTATGTTCTGCTTGTTCATGTGTTTACAACATTTGACAGAAAAAAATTCACAAAGCTTATGGAAACTTTTCTTCATATCCTAATTATGTGGAAGGTTGTAGCTCTTCGATATATGTACATGTGCATGTCACGCATGAAAAAATCTCAAGATGCCAAATATTTGCGCAAATTTATAACTTGCGTTATCACCTTGAACTTTGAAATGGGCATCCAACTAGTACTGATGCTCCCGGAACAAAAAATCGGAAAGTGAAGGAAAAGCGAGAGATTTTCATAAATGTAGAGAAAATGAAGGCTGAAGTGCCGTTAGAAAGCATAATTACTGTAGCTTTCCGTGGAACTGTGATGCCAATGGGTAGTCCTTTGACCCTTTTTCATTATGACGAAAATGAGGTCTGCCGAAATTTCTAGAATTTTTCAGAGCATAACAAGAAAATGTAGCAGAACTTACTTTGGGAACTAAAGGAGGAATTTTTGAACGTGCGCAAGAGATAGTTTCAATCATTTCAGTATGAAATTTTTAGATCACAAACATCAAAACCTCGTTTTTACAATGCATTAGTGGACTTAAAACATTTACTGAAGCTGAGACACCAAGTATTTCCCAACCTATATCCCGCAGTGAATAATGCAAACTAAAGGAGATTACAGAAAGGTTGTGGTTAGGATCTTTCGCTAATATTACGATACTAGTGCATTAAGTACTATCAAATGCTTGCTGATTTGTTGTTTTTGTTCACAAAGTTCAATAACAATAAATGCAACAATCCACATCCACATTTTAGAACTGTTTAAATTTTAACAGCCCAAAATCTCGTTCCAATACGGCTTCTTCGGCCAGGCTTGTGTTACATTATAAAAGAATCTGCTTATCACAGCGAGTATGATTTTAGAAAATTATCCGTAAACTATATTTCACATAGATTTGCCCTAGTGCATTTTGGGATTTGACTTGGATAAGCAGTCTAGCCTAGCCATATGCAGACCTGCTCAATTTTGAATCTAATCGTATGCCACTAAAGGCATCTGTTTGACTCATGAAAAAAAAGAAAAAGTCAAGTGTGCGATGGCTCATCATTAATATTTTGATTTGCAGGCAAATTATTTTAGGTGGGCTCGACTATAATATCTTCAGATATCTTCAGATATAGAGATATATGCTTAATTCCTTACTGTTGTCAAATTATTTTTTTTTACTTTTGCCTTTTGCCCTGAACACTGTACTGAAGAAATTTCGTTGTAAGATATTAGCTAAAAGGACTTCTTGAAATACTGCCCCATAGACAGGAAGGATGAACAGGATTACAGAACAACTCTAGCTTAAATTTACAATTTCTAATTCTTCGAAATAGTGTGAGTTAGGTGTTTGATCCCAAATACAGGTCCTATGTTGGATATAGACTATAATGCCGAAGTTAATATGTTACGTGATTACTTATAGAAGCATAACTTCAAAGTGGCTTTGATATCGTCATCCAAAAACTACCAAACATGAATGTGTCCTCTGTTTAGTTGAAGAATGCTTTAGGTAGTCTCAATCCACATATGTTAGCAAACGTTTTCTGAACAAAAAATTGGCATCCACGAAGTCAGTTTTAGAATACTGATATGTTAAATCCCTGCGCATATACTTCAAACTTTTTTCCCTTATTACAGCATTGAATTCTATAAGATATTTCGAAAATTTCGCAAAAGCATAAAGTATCTTACTGGGCAGATCAGGATATGTTTTCCGTTTGAGGGTCATACCACACAAGAGTTTCCCGTAAAGAGCTTTTGCTCTCATTTCGACAACGAAAACTTTCATTGACTCTTTCGTGATAGATCAGCAGATTATGAGATTTTGTTCAGTGAAAAGCGAGGGCGCACCGGAAAAATGCCAAAGAGGACCACTGTTGCTCCGATTATTGAAAGCAGAAGAGGAGTCCTTATTGAAACCATGTCATTCTTTATTAAAAAATGGCATGGTTTGAAATTGGCGTATTTCAACAGTTTACGCATTGTCAGCCAATCCATTAGTTCTTCTCCAAAAGGATTTGAGTAGCGCAAAATGTCTACTCTCATCATTTTCTATTATATTTCAGTACGAGTGATCGATTCCAGCATAATCAATGCTACGAATGAACTCTAGCTGACTGCGTCTGGAGGTACTGGCAAATGAAAATCCGTTACTACCATTCCCAAACAACTGAGACTTCCTTTTATTTGTCGATGGGTATTGCCGTGATTTGAGTGTTAAGTTGATCATGATCAACAGATAAGATATACAGTTACAACTAATGTATTTATCAACAAACATAGTGTTCCTGCGTTGCTGACAACATCTGCGAACGATACAAAAATTGGCAATGTACGCTCTATAGAAAGTTATACATACAAATCGCACAAGGTACGACTAGTTCATGCTTCGCTAGTTTTCATCCGTACTGTGTTTGAACTACATGTATCAAAGGCACTTATTGAAACTTGTGTAAGGAGATTTGTACTGATGTGTGCGTTGACTCTGGTAGAAAATCGTAAAAGCATCTAACATGATTCTGTAATCTGATAACATAGACTAGGATACGGTAGCACTACACTTTCCTTCCGTGGCAGCTTCTGAAGCGACTGGTTGTTGTTGATTTTTGCTCTATAAAGTCGCAATTGCTTGTGGATAATTCCTTAGCTAATTCGGGAGTCCAAATTCTTCTTCCACTGGGCACACACCTGAACTAGCGAGAAAAAAACTTTGAGGGGATTCGCGTACTGGAGTACCTGAATATTTGCAAATCCAATCCAAATTCGGTTTGACGGCATTGAAATAGTTTATCATGTCTGCAAGAACCAAAAAATGGATTCTGTGGACATCTGACGTGCTTACTTTAGTTGATCTGAGTTGAGTTCACAAGCAAGGCGCTAGTGATTCCTACAAGGGTATGACGTCCCTCTTGGTCCACTTGAAACAGTGGACCTCCACTATCTCCCTGAATTTGTCCAGTTCAGCATAAAGATGGGGAGTGAAATAGAATGTAACTGGGTATATTGTTTTTGCAAAAGTCTTAGTTCGAATCAGGTGAAGTGACTGATCGACTGCGTCGTAACGAAGTGCCACAACTTGCTGTCCATGTGCTTGATCGCCGCTTGGGTTGTCGAAAGTGATAGGGCTTGAAGCTAAAACTGAAATAGCGTTAGATTCTGCATGTGAATTTGTTTCATATATTTTTCGGAATTATGTGAGCTGCTAAATCTGCAGCTGGCACGTATGACGCCTTCATCATTCAAATTGTTTTGCTGAAGATAAGCTTTTTGCCCACGATCTAATCCGAAGCCGCTTGCATATAGGACAGGATTCAACTCCGTATAATCATCGGGCATACAAATCGGTGTCGAGTCATATTCTGAGATATTTTGGCTGAGTTCAATAAGTGCCAAATCATCTTTAAAACTGCAAACATTCATTTCTTTCGAGGTAATCTGAAAACCTTTGAAATGGTCACAGATTGAATAAATAGAAAAAATACCTGCCTTCTTCACTTTGTACAATGTCTTATTGTACTGACAAAAAACTCCGCCACAGTAGACTTTCCCACCTCCGATGAAAACTGACATATCTTCTGGCATGCTAAGCACGGGGACAACGCTAAGAATTATTGCTTTTTAGTTGTTGATATTACTCTAGTACGACTGTGTACGCAGAAAATTCTGACGTCCACAATTCTATTGCTTCAACGATTGCCCCAGCGAACCTGTAGGACAAGTTCATAGCACATAACACTCTTTGTTCCAAATCGTCATAGACCAACACACAGTGAGCAGCTGTTAAAATATGTCGTGGAGATATCTGAACACCACTGCACGTTGGTTGTCCTGAAGATGAGTGAAGATTGCCATGAAGCCTACACCGAGAACTTGTGTCATACCATGTCTTAATATCACAGCAGTCCAAGGGTATTCATTTTCTTCGAATTCTCGACCTCCATAAGACTTTTTGACCAAACGGTTTGATTGGATTGGCTGTCCTGAATATCCAAAATAGCGAGAAGTAGATACGTCAAAAGCAAGCTGTGCACTTACCTAGGAAATGAACGCCGCACCTTTTGTTGTTGAGCTCGTTCTCCTCCGTTGTAAGTTTTTGACTGTGAGTTTGTGAGCTAATAAGGAATAGAAGAAGAAATGGTGCTACCATGATCATGAGTCTGCGTGGAATCGGTTCTTGCCCTTTATTTAGAGGTGTAGGCGTTTTTCCACGACACACTGCCCTTTGGCAACCTTCTTTGTGCATGCCTGATTCATATTCTACTCTTTTCTTTATGAATGCCAATTTATTGAAACGTGTGTCTCACTCCATGTATGAAACGAAAGAATATCAGAAAAGTTTCCATTATTTCCATTACATAGCTGGTGAAACACGAATTGTTTTGCAACCGTAGCTATCTTTTCAAAAGGCTGAGCACATCACACAACCTCCAAAATAATTTGTGATTTTTACGGAAATATAACATATAAGTAAACTGCATTCATCGTAGCATTCGACTCATTGGTATTCATCCCAAAATATCTTTCACAAGGAAAGATGCACGATTAGCGTGGCCGTATAGAAAATAATGTAGTCATATACCTTACGTATAAGCTCAACTCCATGTAAAATATTTCAAAAGGAGAACTCAGCGTTACAATTCGCAAGGGCTGCAAAAACAGCAAAATCAATTCCGTTGTTTTCTTCTATTTTTTCAAATAAGGAACGAATTTTTTGCTATCTTGCCGAATTTCCTGGTATCCATTTTTTTCTCTTGGTATCTCAACGAATTTCTTGGTAACCATTTATCTTAGCATAGGCTTGACACATCAGACATAACTATACTCTTTCCGTAATTTTTCCATGGCTAGGAATAAAGAAAAAAGGAATGGAGCAAAATGGCAGACTCCACCCCTAGACTTTCTGTGCTCGTTCCACTCACGTGGTCATATAGCTTCTACACACAGATACCCTTGGGTGCCCCAGTTTTGAGAAATGCTGATGTTTAGGGTAAAAACGGTGAAAAATTATGGGACAGTTAATAAATCGACTCATAATTGCAATATTTATCCACCTCTTTACTGCAGCGCTGGTTCCGAAGGCAAATTCATTCTTCAGAAAAGCCTCTTCCTTAGTTATCAAGCCTTTTTCTTCATTTTTTATTCAGGCTTTTGCTTAGAGAACTCTGTTTATTTCAAAGTCCAGTGAGTTTGAGAACAAAAGACTAAATCGTGAAACTTTTTTCCTTTGTTTGCATTGCTTGAATTTCGTTGTCAGAAAATATTGGTTTCCGGCTTATAATCAGGATCTAGCGTGGGGTGCGGCATGCCACACCTGGGGGGCCGTATTGAGGAATTAGGGAGGGGGGGGGGTTGTTAACAAGGCGTCTGCTGTTCGCATAACATGTTCGTTAACAATGTCAAATAGGCCCTCCATACAAAATACTAGCAAAATGATATTTGTCCCATTATCATACGCGTACAGTAAGCATAATTAAAGATCTATAAGGCATAAGAGCATCGTTTTGTTTAGCAAGTAAAATAACCCCTGCGGTCCAAGTTTCAGTGAATTCTGAGGCTTCCAAATACAGGACCTCCTAAGTGAGATGATCGTTTTCAAACATGTTACAAAGGTAGAGGTTTGTTTCAAAGGTAAGTTAACTACTTCTTTTTGCGCTTAATACAAAGAACCACCACTTCTTTGCTCACATTAGGAATCCTACTTCAAATGACCTCCAAATTAAGGAATTAGGAGTGACCCAAAACTCGTTTGTTCCATTTTTCGTTCTCAATATCTCAGGCTAGAGAAGACCAGTCAAACTCAAATCACTTTAGTATAGATCACGAGGCTTAGGCTATCGAATATATATATTCTTGTCGCCTTACCTTGAGATTCACGTAGTAGCGAAGACTTAGCATGTTACCGTATCTCAATATTTTCGCCGTATTTAACCAGTATCTTACACTTGCATAGGTAAGGAAAAACGATTATATCTTGCTCTTGAAGAAATGTTTTCATATGAAATTTCTGCTATATAAAGAAGAAGGTTGAGCAATAACAACTATATAAAAAACGCAGCTATTTGATCTGGCTGAAAGTAAGTTAATTGGGAATGGCACCACCCCATTAACTATATCAGAGAAACATTTTTAGCGAACATTATTTAGATGAATAGATAGCCTAGTCCTCGTAGATTTCGTAGGTGTGATTTGAGCCTCATTCGTGTTCTTAGCTCTGTGTAATATTTGGTGAAAGCATAGCCATTAAAAGCGCAAAGTAGGGAAAACAAGCTTTTGGTTGGCTTCTAATTCCAAAGTTAGGATGTCTTTTGAAGCGAGATTTCTGAAGTGGCCAAAGAAGGAGTAGTGCTTTGTCTTGAGTGCAAAAACAGCTAGCTACTTCACCTTTGAAACAAAGTTAATCATGCTGGAAAATGGCGATTTCACTTAGGTGACGCAGTATCTTGAAACTTCAGAATTTGCTCAAACAGTGTCTACAAAGGTTAATTGACGTGCTAATTATGGGCCCGTTAAGTTTGACAGGGCCTTCAAGTTATGCTATCTTAGTTATAAATTCAGGGGGTCTTTTTAAGACAGCAATAAGAGGGGGAGGGGGGGGGGGTCGTAACCAGCGATGGTGTGCCACACCTCCTGCTCAACCCTGCTCATAATGGAAGATGCTACAGACTCTTATTAGTCACGGCCTTCAAGATATAAGGCTGTTTCGAAAAGCGACCCTTATGCCGCACGATTAGGCAATACGCAGCACGGTATAAAGTCCTTTGGTTGCGAGGTCCTTTGATGTGTTCGGACTGGTCGATGTAAGCCGGGACCACCCCGCGGCTTGTACACCTGAAAATAGGGTACTTTCAAAAATGTGTTGAAAGCACGCGGGAAGTACATCGTATTTGCTTTCACAGTAATTGCTTGTTTTACTTGACAAATATGCAGCATGATGGAACAAGCTATTGATTGCAACAATTGAGAAGGTTCTTGCAACTACAGGAGTAAAAAATTTCATAATCTGAAAATGTGTGTATTCGCAAACTGGGAATTTGGATCTTACCCGAAGAAAGCGGAGAATCATCGATTAGGAACAATCAACTATCAGATTTAGATAAATACTCATAGACGCTTGGAGAAGAATCAGCTCTGAACTCAACGCCTGCTGCGCTTCTATAGCTTTCTAATTTGTTTCAAAGGCAGGTGGCAGGTGGCCATTGACACGCATATAACATTTGCAAACTATCATTTTTCCTTCGAAAGGATAGCTCATGACAGATGGAATGATCATGATGTCATATTACTTCTACACTGTATGAATCAAGGTGTTTCAACATAAACTCTGTGTCTCCGGTTACGGGTTGTAAATATGTAAATACTAAAAATTCTGATCTTCTCGCCCTGTAGACTGCAATTTACATTGCACTGTATGCATTGCAACCAAATTCTACACCAGTCTTTCTCTTCACAACTTAACAAAATTATTTATCAGTGATCACTGTTTTCTCAGTAGAGGGAACAAAGAAGAAGAAAAAAGCTGGACGTCGAGCGGAAGCCCCAGCAGAGGCGAAGAAGTTCTATGCCATGCGGGAGTTCGACAAAGAAGAAGTTCGATGCCACGCAGAACCACCATCTATAGTAAAATGCTACGCTGCTGTTCGAATGTGACCGCCGAGCTCGACAAGGGCAAGCATGGCTTCTTCCGTTGGTTTTGGTTCTACTAAACCTGGAGGTTAGAAAATCCGAGCTCCTATGATGATCATAATTCGTTTAGCCGAATCTGGAGGCTTTATCACATTTGCTCGGTAGTCTTCAGTAGCAAATTTGCTCTCGTTTAAAAATGTCATTTGCTTTCGTGATCTTTGTCACGCGGGCTCGTTCAGTTATTTGATCGTACGAGTTCTGTCGGAGGTGGTGTGAAGCTATGGCTAGTCTTTCTTGAGTAACGTCTTCTATCCGGAATTTTGCAGACAGTACCAATATCAACTTTCACTTGAAGTCATTTGATACAAGCCGCCTCTCTTTTGTAGAGACTCCCTCTACTTTCACTAACTGCACGCTTTCCTGATGCTTGCAAAATGCAAAAATCTGTTTCGAAACTTTGCTGAATGACTTTGGTCATTAAATTCGTAATAACTATTTACAAAAGCCTTTCCATGTAAGATTGTTAACTTCAGAAGAAAAAATCCTTCAGGAAAATTAATGCTTCTCAAAAACTTTGCAGTAAGGAGTCAATGAAAAAAGGATTGCCTCGAAAATGAAGAACAGGTCTTACAGAGTAAGGCTGATTATTCAAATGATACAGGTCTTCGCCACAAGTCCGCCGTTTTTATACGGAAATGCAAACCACTTCAAGCAGCCACTTCGACAAAGATATTTATTGTACACAAGGGTTGTGATCTAGAAGACAAACGTTTTGCACAACAGTAAACGCAGCAAAATCCACCGCCCCTCTTTTAAGGTTCATACTAATCCGTAAGTTTCGGAACAGTTCCAGCACAGCGAATAAGAACCCAAGCCGCCGCAAAGGGTGTCGGGAGCGATAGCGTTCCTGAGTGGAAATGCCCAGAGAGCGACGGTAAAACGGTCACGACAAGCGGATTTTCCGGCTATCACTAAGAAAAGCAACAGAATCTTCTCATTATCGTGAACATCATTTAAGGTTGTCTCACGAAGCTACTAAAGTACTTTCAGATATTTTGACCTGCGATCTACAAATTTTGAACCAATTTAATTCTTTTCCGATCATATCTACGGGGGCCTCCGCTGCAGTACATCCTGATTCCACTAGTCATTTGAAGCCTTTGGACCTGTACAAATGCCAATCAGTCGAGAACTCCATACCTTCCAACGGCATACGCTTCTGCCACTCTCTTGTGTTCGAACAGTCATTTGCTAGAATGTTTCATGAAGTTGAATAAACAGTTAAATTGGGGAGGGAAGGGGGGGGGAGAGAAGGAGGAGAAGAGGGGATCCAACGGATTTGTAATAATCACTGACTTGTGAGTCTTCGGTTTCTCCATGCATGCCCGTAAAAGTTGATGCCTTGCATTCACCAAGGCTGAAAAGCGCTGAGACGAGAATTAATGGTCTTTTATGAAAAGAATTTGCTCAACGTTGGGCCCCATGGAGAGCGAAATTCAAATTGTCTTATTCATGTGTTTTGGATATCTTTAATAAGTGCAAGTTTAGAATTCATTTTCAAAATCAAAAAAACAATAACAACGATGTCATAAAAAATGGTAACAAACTGTAACGTATGTATATACAAAACAATGTGGTGAGATGTAAGTTATTTATATGTACTCAACACAAGGATGACTTCATAGGGGTAGACGTAAGGGGGTAACGTCACTGCACAAAACTTATTACTTTAAAAAACAGCAAATGACACTTCTGACAATCGGGCTGCTAAACCCGCTAAGTTAGAATGGATCGTTGAACTTCTAAAAAATCGCTTTTAGGTTCTTCTAAAGTTTATAGTGAAAAAAATCCCACTTTGATCACGCATGATTGATCTTGGTCTTGCCAGGCCAGCTGAGATTTTTTTTTGGAATCTCCGAAAACAGCGCCGGATTCCTTTTCTGACGACAAACTGAAAAGCTTCACCTGTTCATTCACAGCAATGAGAGCGATTTCAGGCCCACTATGCCAAAACGGATTTTACAGTCTTTGAAAGAAAGAAGGTCCGTTCCTAAAATCCAAATCAAAAAGGTTTCAACCTACTTAACGGTGGAGAAATTGATCCCGGATCTAAAAGCCAAACGATTTGCAGAATCCTCAAATAAATTCCTTGTAGAGTCTGCCAGGGCCCAAAGCACAAAAATTCGATCCTGTTTTCAATCACAAGCGCGGACATCGCTACCAAGCAGCATGATCTCAAAATCTGATAAACGCTCAAAGGTCCGCCTTTTCCACAATCTGAATTGAAAAAATTCCAACCTGTTCAATCAAAGAAAAATTCAAGCATTGGTCGTGTCCGGCCAAACTGGACCTTGACCTCTTCAAAAAGGAGCTTCAATGCTTTGCTTGCCAAAACAGATAAACTTTTCACCTTTAGGTTAGACGTGCAAAAAACGACGAAAGGCGTGTGACGGCACGTATGCATTGCGTTGGCTGGCCCTACCCAGCACTGCTTTCCATGTAAGCACACACATCGACGTGTAGTGGCCCAGCACGAATTGGCCATGGCGATATCTCGTGAGCGCCACGTTCATGCGCCTTGGATCCCAATGAATTTCGTAATTTCTGGATCGAAGTTTCCTAGTAATAAGGGCCATTACGACGTCCTTCTCTCGTTCTTGGACCCGAATCAACTGTGGAGCTGATCTCCACATTTTCAAAGAACTCCGTTAAACATCAATGCTGTTCTTTGTAAAACGTGATGATGACGATAGAAGTGGGAGGAAGTCTTTCTGGATCAAGCTTGACAAGAAGAACTCGTAGATTTTCCTCTCCGCTTGAACAGGATAAAGAGGGGGCCCTAACAGATTGACATCAAAGTGCACAAACAGGAACTAGTTAGGAATTGCAGAAATCCATGATTTCGAGTGAGCGTTTGTCTGCTGCGGCTACGCCGTCGACAAGGGATCATAGAACAGCTAACTGAGCAGGGAATTTAGGACAGGATGGGCTGGTGACGAGTGAACACGGAACTGCCTTTGCTTTTGCAGAATACATGATGCTAGCTGCTCCGTAAATAGCGAGGTTGTTCTGTCGAAAATCTTGCATAAGGTTCCAGTTGGTGGACTTTTCCGATATGTATCTGCCTGACTCATCGTAGTCACGCCATGATCGCCATAAACTCGGGTTGGTACTTGTGACGTTTCGTCACATAACACTAGATTAGCATAACTGATGTGTTGAAAATGCTATCCTTGTCCGTGTATTGATGGATGATGAAGTTGTAATGCAAACGATCTTTGGATCCATGCAGTTAAACAACATTTTTACCATGTCTTCTAGGGTGATAAAGATGCCCTTTTCGCCAGAACATAATCTTCTCTTTCTTGGTTGGTCAAATCAATCCTCTGCTCTCTCTTGTATCTTTTGTATTTATTTCGATCTACCGGTGAATCGTTTACACACGCCTTGCTTCTTCGTTGTCAGCACACCCTCGTAACAGTTCCTATCATCTTCAATACTTCAGGCAAATCAGCCAAAGTCGTAAGTGCATTGTGTCAAAGGCTGAGGTTTCTGTCACAAATCGAATCACTCCTACGCTATCGCTTCCCTGCAACCCGAAAATGGTATCAGTGAATTGTTCTACTGCGGTGTCGTGCTTGCAGTAACTAGTAACTTACCATAACTCGTTGTCCGGCTAACGCCTGGAGTAAAGCAATGCAAGCTCCGACGACGGTTTGTCCAGTTGCAAAGGCGAGTTGTAAGACCATTAAGCGAGATTAGCTATTCTCTAGTAGCAGGGCATCCTGTTGATCAGCACTCAAGTTGATTGTTCGTCTATGCATGACTATCAATTCGGTATCTTCACTTCTTTGGTGCGTCTAGCTTCTTCAGCAGCCTGGTAGCCCGAAGCCTGCACTCCGTAAGCGATGTTGCCAGCCGTTGTTTGCTCCCTGATAACTAGTTCCCCGTAGATCCCAATGCGAACAATAGCCTCGAATGCAGGCTTCAGAGTGGGATCAACCCAACTTCGCATATAAATCAAGAGCAGCGGTATTGGGTGCTACAGCCGAGATCTCTGATCGCTTTTGTAGGATCGTACACGCTTGTTTGTTAGCCGTCAGTCCCACACGTAGCTCTCTAGTGTCCGAATCATGGGTAATCTCATCAACCTCCAACTTTATGTATCGCCACACTCATAAACTGATCCAAACCTCCTACTGGTCGATGTCTTCCCCAGCTCTCAAGTGACGGCTTGTCAGTAAGCGTAATGGTCAGTGGCATCGGGTAGGTGGAAAAGGATGGAATGATGGCTGTAACTTGGTGAGCTTTGTGATCCTCCTCCATGACTGTACGTGCTGCGAGCCCGGCGCATGCCACACTGAACACTTGGCTCATCTTATACAAAGCTTCATTATGGTAGTACATCAAATTGTCGAACCGTCCTCTTCGGTCGCGTAACCATTCAAATTCTTTCTGCCGCCTTCGCCTTCGATTGGTGTGAGGCTCTCATCGGAGTGCATTGGACAGAAGTATTTACCTCTTCGCATAAGAAGTCCCTCGCGTTTATTTATCGTTTATTCTGCAAAATTTTCTTAACAATGTTTCCGAGTGATAATTCCTTACGAAAGTGATTGGTAAGCGGACAGCCTCGGATTCAAGTGATAGATGCGCTGGGAGTTGATTCGAGTCATCCAAGAACTTAGATCAACGCTGAGAGATGTTCCTCTCAATTAGAAACCTAAAAGAAGTTTGACGCTAAAGCCAGTAGAACTAACTGTACAAGATTTCCTTGGTAATGTTTTCAAGTGCTATTTTTATAAATTGGTTGATGCACGTGACAGCTTGGAGTATCACTCACTAGTAATGGAACATTTGAAATCAAAATGAAATCGCCAGCAAATCTTGAGTCAACGCTGAACTGGAGACAAATGAATGAGACATTGCGAAATACAGAGAGTCAAACTGTTCCGCACGCAGAAGATTGCGAAATATCGGACTACCTACAAAGGACAAGATTGTGCAATATCGATCACAAAATGGAGGGACTTTCATAATTTCGACATATATCAGCTTTAAAACTGATAGTTAGACAAAGGTATGTATGCGCTGAAACGTGCATCACGGAATATTGACCCGGTCCAAATAGCAACTTTTTTCCTCAAAGAAAACGTCAAAAAAGAAGAACCGATCAAAACGAAATGCAATACAATCGTAGGGTATTAGACTAGATTTGTCGTGAATAGTAAGCAAGTGTTGCACAGGGTAACTACGTGGCACTGTCAGAGCAATAAAATCCAGGGAAATCATCACGCTCCAGTAAATCAACGTGCTCGAAATGTGACCTTTCTTGCGATTTTCAATTAAACCTTGATACCACTTGAAGTTTACTAACTCCCCTGCAAATCATTGTCGGATAAATGGCACAGAAGCACTCAACATCTCCATAGAAAAGCTCTGCAATCCTCTGTTACAAAAGTTCCAGCCAAGGAAGTACTTAAAAACACACTTCAAACTAATTGGTACATCTATCTATCATGTTTCCTCTTCCGCTACTTGTTGTATCATCTCCAGGCGCGAAGTTCGTGACCTCGAAACATAACATTTGCGGCACATAAACTACTAAAACAGAAACTACGAGCCTGTAAAAACTCTCAGCAAGCTGCCGCAAATCTTAGGTTTCGAATTCACGAACCTTGCCCCTGGAGATGATAGAACAAGCAGCAAAAGAGGGAGCATCATCGTACTATTGAGTTATTGAACAGACTGTAGACAGAGGATCCGAAATATCATTCGGAAATCTTCCCACGAGGGGAAACTTGATTTCATTTGGACGCAACGGCCTATTACCAGATTTCATCTTACACATCTTTGGTATTTTCCTGTTCTTGGAAAAGGTTAGCAGCGCCTCAAAATAAAAAACAAACATAGCAGTGCTTTTTGCACAAACATGAACTCTCACCAAAACAAAAATTTTTCTTCGCACTTTTGGTGTTTGATGAATGCCCTAGTTCAAGACAGATGGCTGTTAGGCCTCGCAGAGGATTTTTTTGGAACCAAAGGTGTCCTCTGAAATTGAAGGATGGAAAAAGGAGCGTACGAAGACATCCTCATGCTTGAAGCATAGCAGGATGTTATAGTACAAGTTCGAAGCTCTGATCACAAGGGGAAGCAGGCTGAACAAGAACGGTGACATGAGAAAGAGAAGGGTTTGATAAAGCACAAGAACAACACATTGTGTGACTGATGTGTGGTTTTTTCGCGCTCTCAGCTTCTTTTCGGTTCCAATATCATTGCTTATCCGTACTTTCCTTCACCCGCTTCTCCTTGTGATAAATATAGCTTTGATCTTTGAGCAGGGCTAGATAATGAAAGATGTTCTGCTTCGTGTGCTTTGTGCGTACGCCCATTATCTCTTCGTTATTTTTGACCAGAACCACTCCACATGGAAGGCGCAAGGACACAGCTTGTAGAACGCAGAAGTAGGAATGGAAATAGAATGGAAGCGCACGAAGGCACGAATAGAACTCACGAAAAACTAAAAATCCTAATTCTAGGCATTCTGATGATTTTTTTACGCCTTAGCTCTAGACACAAGTCCGTCATGAGTACGCAGCAGCTTTCATATAAATAGGTCTGTACAAAGACTCACGAGGGAAAGGATGAAGAAAAGAAGAGAACACCGTGCAAAAAGAGAAACAGCAAGTGCTGGTGTCCTTGTACAGGTGGACGGGACGGGCACTGAATGGAATTCTCATCGGGACCTTCATTAAATTTTATGCAAGTACGGCATGACATATCACCCAGATACAGAAACAAAACAGCGTTTCCTCCTCTGAGCCCGCTTCAAAATCGAAGCCATTTTCATCACACGAAGAAGTGGACTGGAGGAACAGGTAAGCAACGAGGAAAAAGGAAAGGGGCCTATAACGCTCAAGAACTAATCGCTGTTGTCCGAAACTCTTTCATATATAATGATGAGTGGCTTCTTGTGTTTCTCAGCCGCTTTCCTTCTATTATATCGTTCTTATCCTTTCTTTACCCCGCTTCTGTTTGCGATGCGAAAGGCTGCGAATTTCAAGCGGGTTGAAGAGTGAACATTGTTCTGCTCCATGTATTCGAGAAGATGAGTCTTTGCGCTCTCGTTCATTCTCTGTTCGTTATTTTGTTCACACCTGTTTCAGTGTTTTAGGAAGCCGCTGCACAGTTCCGCATCTTTATTGAAAGGGGCATTAGAAGGCCTCAACAAATAGAAGAGAGAATGGACGAGCGCACGAAAACCCATCTGGGATATTTCTTCAACCCCGCTTTGATTTCGCTGCGTTTCTCATCACAAGGATAAGAATGGTAGAAGAAAGAACGGATAAGTAACGTCATGAAAAAAGGAAAGGAGCTGAGAATGCCTCATCGAAACAAGAGACAAGTTCCAATTACGCATGTTCAGCCATGTGTTCGCATCCGCTAATTCCAGACAAATGCCTGCTGAAACTAGACAGCTGTTTTCTGGAACAAATGGAATAAGTCTGAGCAAAAATAAGGCGGAGAGAAAATGGACGACTACAAGAACACATTTTGTCGCATAAGTAGCAGAAGAGCGCTCATTCTTCGACCCCGCTTGTTCGAAGTTCTGCTAATCAAAAAGGGAAGCTAGGTAAAGGAATCGCCAAAATGAGAGGATCCTGTGGCCAAATTCAACAAACCCAGTGGGTACCCATTAACTATGAACCCAGTGGGTACCCATTGAGTTCATGAACCCAGTAGGTTCCGTATGTTCGCAAACCCACTGGGTAAGACAGTATTCACATTTGCTTTGCCTGCGTCCACTAACCTTGACATCAGCAATGTGCCTCTCTAATTTGTGTACTGTTTTTTCATCTCTCGACATCGCGGATCTGTCAAGCGTGCTGGCGCTCTAACAAAAGCGCCAGCACGCTTGGCACGTTTTCACGAACTCATATGTTCGGAAGAATGGACATCAATCAATGTCTTTTGTGCAATCCACAAACGACTGTCGATTTCAATATGTGTGAAAATGTATGCAAAAGAGGACTCTCCTCTCTCTGTACAAGTGATCTTTCTTGTTCAGAGTTGTCTTCACCTCAAAAGGAAGATATTAGCCACATTTTCCGAAGACTGTATGAAGTAGCTGACATTCACGATTGCATAGTTTAATTGTCATGATGCAAGGAGTAGCTAAGCTTTATCCTACGGATGCTTTTGATATACATGACAAGTGAATCTATGCGTTTTTTCAAACTCCTACTTTTAAAAATATTTCCATCATCAGTGGCAAGGTGCGTATTCGCGGGAAGCTATCAAGTCCCTCTTCGACTTGATTTGTGTCATATTCATTTCTATTCAATGACCCAGCAAATGTCGGCCAATGCTTAGGCTCTTTACAATTTGACGCAAAAATTTCCGTTAAGAAGTTGATCTGAGACTACTCAGACCGATTTCTCAAGCTTGTTTCCGACTTTCCAGAGACTGCCTAATCCTGACTGGCATCAAATTTGCTGTTCCTACATCTCAGTGGAATATCTTATCGAAATTCATTCAACAAAATTCCCATGAGTTATGAAATGTGGAAAGTGCTTCTAATGTATAAGTGTTACTAGTAATAACCATTCCTACATGAAAAAGTCCACATAATGTTCAGCAAAGGCACGGAGTTTGCATGTAACCCACTGAGGAGGTTGCACCATGCTTGAGTTCGCTAACTTAGCGCTCAGTGGGTTTCGTAACCTACGAGAACTGGGTCACTTGTTTCGTGAACAACCGGCATGCTCGCCCTTTGGGTTCGCGAATCGCGAACCCACTGGGTTCGTTCATGAATACCGGTTAAGTGGCTTTTCGTAGGTTCCGAAACCCACTGAGTAGGCTTAACCCATTAACTGCCGGAACCCGATGGAATCGTTAATGAATACGACCACTAAGAAAAATGCTCAAAAACGGTCAAAATTCTCCAACTCCCGCACTCAAAATTGCGTGCGAGCGGCTGCGGCGCATGCACCGCAGTTCTGAAACAGTTCCAGCATAGTGCGGAAACAGTTACGAAAATGGGAATCAGTATGAATCCAGCCAAAAGCTGCATTGAACACGTGCTAAGTCACATCTGGGTATTTATTGTACAGTCGAGTAGATTTAGCGGTAAATATAGTGTGCTTGCACAGAAGGTGAAATGCGGTGAAATTTGCGCGTGAATAAGTAGCCACGCCAATACTGCGGGTATTTTGCGCGCGCAATTGGCCGGCGTCACAGTCGAAGCTATTTCTTCACGCGCCAATTTTACCGCATTTCACCTTCTGTGCAAGCACACTATATTTACCGCTAAATCTACTCGACTGTACGAGGTTTCATAGGTGTTTAAGAAAAGGCAAAACGGAGCACCTTAACATTTAACGCAGGCTTTTTGCTCTCATTTCATTTTCAAGTCCTCAAAATTACCAAAAAAGAGCAGCTCTTCTATGCTTCTACATGTTTAGGTTTTTCTTGAGTCACGTTGTTTTCCACGGAAAGTTTTCACTACCCGCAGAAAATTTCATTGACGTAAGCTGGAAATCTTTTGATTTGTTTCATAATCCACAATGAGCTAGGTGATAATTTGGCGATTGTGCCTGCTAGAGGAGAAGTGACCTTTGTGCCTGTAAATAGCTTGAAAGCTAATCTGTGCTTGGAGCAGGTTTCTCTCATGTATTATTCATTATCACCACTTCAATTTGCAGTGCCGAGGATTTGATTAACTCCGGTTTTATAAGCGCTACAAATACACTTGGCCCGTGTGCACGTACATCCCCGCGATGAGGGGAGGAATCTGAGAGGGAAAGCTTAGGGCCCGGCACGCGTTGGTTTGGAACAGTTTTAGGAACGAAGTCCTCCATGAGTTCACGAAAATTCACAAAGTCCCTTTTGACGTAAAAGTCAGCAGTGAAACCCCTATCCAATCAATTTAACAATAAAAGAGCGGAAAAACCACATTTTGAGGTATAACAATATAAATAATAATAATAATAATAATAATAATATATAAATAATAATAATAATAATAATAATAATAATAATAATAATAATAATAATAATAATAATAATAATAATAATAATATATAATAATAATTGTTGATAATTTCTATATCATCAACCCAATCCACTCCATTTTCCACATCGCCTATGGAGTTCCCATAGGCTGAATTGTACGCCACTCATTCTTGAGTATCTAATCACTCGAGAATGATTGGCACCTGTGCACCAGGAGTGTAGCCGAACGGCGGCAACTCCTTTTAAGCCATGTACCCCTCCTACGTTGTACATTGTACCCGGGCAAGCTCCGCCTTCTATTCGTGTATATAAGGAGCCTCCGACTGTAATATAGATCGCTCTCAACTATTGCCAGTGTGAATAAATATTCCACACTACTTCGTCTACCCTACTTCACTTGGTACACACCAAATTGGTGCATCGGCCAGTGAACTTCCTTGCAATTCCTGAGCGACTCCTTTACCTAAGGAACGGGAATTCAAGGCCTAAGACCCGCGTGGCAAATACTCCACTAATTAATTGAACCCTTCTGAGCTCTCTCTTCGTGAGACGACCAGAAGTTAGTAAAAGCGTTAGTTGGCAGGCTTCTTCACTGATTAATTGAACCCCTCTGAGCTCTCTCTTCGTGAGACGACCAGAAGGTAGTAAAAGCGTCAACCGAAGAAATTTCACTGGTCAATTGAACCCCTTTGAGCTCTCTCTTCGTGAGACGACCAGAAGGTAGTAAAAGCCCCAGCTGAATACTTCTCCACTAATTAATTGAACCCTTCTAAGCTCTCTCTTCGTGAGACGACCAGAAGGTAGTAAAAGCGTTAGTTGGCAGAAAATCACTGATTAATTGAAACCTTCTGAGCTCTCTTCCCGTAAGACGACCAGAAGTTAGTAAAAGCGTCAGCTCAAGAATTCTCACCGGTTAATTGAACCTTTCTGAGCTCTCTTCCCGTAAGACGACCAGAAAGTAGTAAAAGCCCCGGTTGAAGAACTTCTCACCATTGATTAATTGAACTCTTCTGAGCTCTCTTTTCGTAAGACGACCAGAAGTTAGTAAAAGCGTCATTTGGTAAGACAAACACCACTGCAAATTGAACATCTCTGTGCTCTCTTTACATAAGACGACCAGAGATCAGTAAAGGACCAGTTGGCAATAGCTAACAAGTTCAAAGTTCATCCAGAATTTGAGCTTCAATTGCTATCAATCCTCACGGTACAGGTTCAACACACCTCACCGTCCAGTACAGCGTACAAGCCAACCAGGCACGCTTGCTGACAGCTAGTAGAAGCTCGGCACTCAATTGCCAGCTCACTAGAAGGCTTCCTTGCACCCAGTAAGGACAGCTGTTACAAGAGGCCAGCCTTGCTGTCGTCCTCTAAAGTCTACAACGAGGATGCGCACCTCACGTTGCGACGCTCGCCATCAGCACTTAACGGAAGCACCGAACACAACTTTGTGCGATACAAAAATGGCAGCGCTCCAAATCTTCAAATCGAAAATCAACAATGCCTGCGCACTTGTGAAATCATACGAGTAGGAAGTGAATAAAATTGATACACCATTCACTTTTCCTGTGGACAAGACTGAATGCGAAACATACATCAAAAGGAAAATGGAAGAAATCACGCATTTGCTCAATTCTCTCCAAAATGCCGTCAGACTTCAAGGCACTCAAGTAAATGCCGCAACTGAATATGTCGGCTCAAGAAACGAGGAAAAAGAGAGAGAAAAGCTGATGACTGAACTCAGCAAACATCTCGAGTTAGAGTCTCTTCCTCTGGAGGTCATGACAGTACAGTGGCAGAACAGGATCCAGTTCCGACAACATGAACTCAAGGAACAAAGTGCGCTTGTGCACTGCAGTACTCCGAGCATACCGAGTCAGCCAAGTAGCGAAGTTGGGCAAGCTGGAACTCCGGAACGCAACGAAAGGCAGATCAAAATTCGGAAGCCCATGCTTGAAATTCCGACGTTCTCAGGCAATTTCCGAGAGTTCAACAGTTTCTGGACAGTCTTCGAATCACTTATCCACACCGACGAGGAGTTATCCGACACGGACAAATTCTTGTTTCTGAAACAAGCTCTAAAGGGAAAAGCAGCAGCCACTCTAAGCTGCATCCCCGTTGTTGGAGAAAAATATGAGACAGCAATAGAAATCGTGAAAAAACATTTCGATCGTTCGGCCAACATGGCAGACATACTCATAAATGAGATCGAAAAGCTTTCACGGGCGTCTGATAATCCGAAGAGTCTCCGAGACACCTTTGAAGCAATCAACTCCAGGATCATCCATTTGGAACAAACAGGCATGAAGCTGAACGCAGACCGAGTTTGGCGTCGGATAATCTTCTCCAAATTTCCCGAATCCATTTGTACGACCGCCATCCAAAAAGAAGCGATACAAGATGATCCCTTTGATGTTGGCGAAATCCTAAATGCTATCGATGGCATTATTTCACTGCGGGAAACCACTTCGCTTACAACGGAAACTCTTTTCCCAACCAGTCATCGCCAGGACGCTCAACAAAATGGAAGGAGCAACAGAACAAGATGGGGAGAAGAGAATCACTTTTCGAAACCAAAACGTCTGTGTTTATGTGGGTAGTCGCATTCGCCCTATACCTGCCAAAGATACACCAGCCCGGAAGCACGACGCCTAGAAGCAAGAAATCAAAGAGTATGCTGGAGGTGTTTTGCTAAGAATCACACTTCGAAGGACTGCACAATTATTGGAGTGTGCCCAATGCAAAACTCACACCATGGATCTCTCTGCCTCTCAGATGCAAAGAAGCAAGACAACGGGTACCTTGCAGTCTCACGTCGACCTGCAAATATGGATCGGCGACCAACGCTACCAAATCGACCACCGCAACCCTCCAGTCAACGCAACCGACCTAAGACGAACGAAGTAAGAGCCGCACAAAACTCACAAAATGGACGTGAAATCTCTGTTGTGGACAAAGCCCCACTCCTTCACAACCAGTGCGTACTTCAAATTGCAACAGCGATGATTTTCAATGAAGAACAATGGGACTATCAACCAATAACAATACTTCTGGACTCAGGAGCGCAAAGAAGTTTCATCAAGTCGAACCTTAGCGAAACATTCAAGCTTCCAATCGTCCGAACAACGTCGTTCACCACATCCGGAATGGGTGAACTGCAAGAAGTTTTCAACTCAAATGAGGTTTTGATTACCTTGAAGAGTTTACAAGGACCTAAAAAACTGAAGAAGATGTCTGTACACACCAAGCAAAAGCTCACGACCAACCTGGATACAGCACATCTCACTGAGGCGGATCTTCTATACATTTCAAAGGAGAACTTGGACATAGCACAGCAAACGCTTGCAAGAACCAGCGTCTCGCCTGATATCCTCATTGGCCAGGACATACTTAACACTGTCATAGACCATACTGCTCCAGTGCTAACACTTCCTTCGGGACTAATTCTCACTCCTACCATTTTCGGATACACCATATCCGGGACAAGCCTAGTTTCGACAACAGCAAGCACAACTGAAATTTATGGAAGTTCGCTTGTGGTAGCAACCCCGGCAATTTCACCAAGAGAAAACTACAAGCAGGACATCAAACACCTCTATGAGCTTGAATCGCTAGGACTAAAAACCGAAAACGATCCCGACGAAGCATCTATAATCAAATTCATGGATGACTACAGAAGAACTATTAGAATCAAAGAAGGCACAATCACAGCAGGATTCCCGTTCAATGAAAACGTTGGCAAACTCAAGGACAACTTCAACATTGCCTTTCGCCGGCTGCAGGCTCTCCTTCGGACACTACGAAGCGACGACAAAAAGCTGCAGCTCTACAACAGCACCATTGAAGACTACATCAAAGAAGGAATCATCGAGGAATGTACTCTACAACCAGCAGGAGTAACATCCTTCTACCTTCCACATCGACACGTATGGACACCTGGAAAGACAACGAACTTCGAATTGTCTTCGATGCTTCATCTCACGGAAGAAACGAGCTCAGCCTCAACTTTGAGGGACAACTCATCTTTGAGGGACATGCTCTCACGCCTCTCATCCATGAAATTCTACTGCTCTTTCGGACATACAAACATACAATGGTAGCGGACATCCAAAAGGCTTTTCTACAAATACGCCTTCCCGAAAACCATCGAGATGCAACAAGATTTCTGTGGATAAAGAACCTGAATATGCCGGCCGAAGGCAATAACGTCAAATACTACCGCTTCTGCCGGGTTCCCTTTGGAATTAACGCAAGCCCAGCTATATTGAATCAGTCCATACTCAAGCACATTGAAGAGCAGGATACTCCGATTACAAAGGAACTATCTAAGTCTCTCTACGTTGACAATGTGTTGTTAGAAGGCAACAACCCGCAAGAGCTTATAGAGAAATACATTGCTTCAAAAGAGCTCTTCTCTTCTATCGGAATGAACCTCCGCGACTACTTGTCAGACTAAGCTCTGTGTTTTTACAAGCAGTCAACACCACCAAAGCGGAGACTGCCTTGGTCGACAAAGACGACGTATTTGCTCTCAGATGTCCAACGATGGAAAGCTCGAAACCTCTCCCTTTGCCATATAGAAGACACTTGCAAGTGCTACTCGACGGATGACCAAGCTAACTGTATCTGCAAGAACACAAACATATCGGATCTGACGACATCGATGGATAGCAGACTGCCACTCTCTTCCTCATTCTTACATCTACAAGAAGCCCATGGAAGAGTACTTGGAGTCAGCCACAAATCCATAGTCGACGTCACTATCAGCACGACTGCGGAATGGAATACAGCGAGTGTTGTCAACAATGAAGACTGCGACATCACAGCCTCACCGATTCAAGGATGCTACAACTGCGTGACCGGCGCACGACTTACCTTCTCTTGTCATTCACCGCACCCGACAATGGTGGAGATAACGTGCACGCAGAACATCTATGCTGCTTTCTGCAATGAAAACACAGTGCAAACAGTTGCTCTACTTCAATCGACCGTCGCTAACTATGTCGACAGTTGTTCACTGAGATGCGGAACGAAAAGCCACGTATTCAACATCTCTGGTATCCTGGCATACCACCCACACGAAAACGGAGTACTCTTCACGAATGCTAGCGAGGAAGCTTCATACGTCAACGTCTACAACTATCCCGACATTGGACACATCATCAGCGTCGCCCTCTCGTCATGGAAGATGCTCGTCGTGGCTACCATCGCAATCATAGCCGCGTTAGCCTTCACCATTTTTTGTGTCCCAAAAATCATAAAATTGTCATTAATGTGCGTGTAATTTATCGTAATTTTGATATCACCAATGCTTGTTAATTATAACGATTACGTGTATTTTTATCAACTTCACCTGATTTTACTCATTTCTTTTCCTAGTCGCCCGGAGTGTTGATGATTTCTATATCATCAACCCAATCCACTCCATTTTCCACATCGCCTATGGAGTTCCCATAGGCTGAATTGTACGCCACTCATTCTTGAGTATCTAATCACTCGAGAATGATTGGCACCTGTGCACCAGGAGTGTAGCCGAACGGCGGCAACTCCTTTTAAGCCATGTACCCCTCCTACGTTGTACATTGTACCCGGGCAAGCTCCGCCTTCTATTCGTGTATATAAGGAGCCCCCGACTGTAATATAGATCGCTCTCAACTAATCTACGCCAGTGTGAATAAATATTCCACACTACTTCGTCTACCCTACTTCACTTGGTACACACCAAAATAATAATAATAATATATAAATAATATAACAATATAACAGAAAAGAAAAAAAATTCTGAGTTTATTAAAGACTCCGTCACTGAGTACGGTGCCATTTTAGTGGTCAGAATTTTGAAAACCTCTTAGGCCAACAGAATCTGTGGCCTCAACAATCTGGCGGAGCATTTTTCGCCACATAGTTCAAAGGACCGCATGTGATTGGAGCGCGATATCTATCAATGCGTAGGTTTACACTATTTTTGTCTCAAAAAAGAGGAGAGGTAATGGTTGTTGGCTAAATGATAGATTTTTGAGCGTTCCAAGCGCCCAGATCAGAAAGGTCCACAGTTTATGTGAACTCTCCGGTATTTATGCTCCGAACAAATCCATTTGGTTGGTGTTGGTCTAAAACCAGCAAATTCGGGAACGTGTAATTAGGACACATAAGTTTGTGAAACTTTAACATAATAAAGTTTGGAGTAATATTGTACACACATAGCCCAGATTCGGTGTCATGTGATTGCTTGTGCGCTGTAAACAGGCCATTTGTTTGTTAGTCCCGCGTTGAACTTCACGCGCTAGCGAAAGAACACATTCAGCTCGTAGAACCTGACATACTTGTAGTTTTTTTTCGGTGCTGCTCCTTATACCTTATAAAAACGATATCCCCGTTGCTTCTAACCTCGAAAACGAAGTCCGGTTTGACGCCGGACCATCTGCGCCGGGCCCTGGGGACGCCTCATCTCCGCTACTCTAAATATTTTTCTTCTTTTTCTATCTGGGTTATGAAAATTCTCATACCCTGTTACAGCGCATAACGGTTGCCAAGGTACTGACATACAAGATTAGATTATCACTATTTTGTGTGATCCCCTGGGAATCTCCATGGGATTACATCTCATCTTCAAACTCATTTACAGTGACCGCCAAAAAGTTACGGACAAGCCGGCTTCCTTTTTTCATCGCTCATTTTCGGATGGAAAACAAGGATAAAAAAATGATTGAATTGCATGAGGTGATAGAGCTCTTCAAGAGCTACAACCACACATTGCGCTTGCTGGAAAATATTTATTATAAAAATTTCAAAAATCTTTTCCTAAAAAAAGTCCGAGAATGGCCGCGTCACAATGTCGCGGACATTAATTCTTCGAACGCGAAAAATTTCGTTTAGGTCTTTTCTTGAAGCAAAAACAGAAGTTTTCCGGACAGGTAAGCATACTATGTTGTAGAGCTCATCAAGGACAACAATCGGGTAGTGGTTACTTCCAAAAAAACCCAAGCTTGAATTTTATTTTGCTTTTTTTTCAAAAATAACTTGTAATTCCCCTTTTTAAGCCAAATTTCTCCACATGGGAACCTATTCAAGATATCCCAACAAAGCTAATTAGATGAAATGATTGTCTTTTGACATCTTCTATGCATCCGACGTGTGCTGTAGAGTTTCTTTGCTGAAAATGACTCTTGAAAGTGAGTGCACATGACCCCACCTGCACCTCACCACTGACTTGCACCGCTTTGCAGGCTTGTAACTCGGCCGGCAGTCAATCTACGAGCCTGCAAATAGGCTCATTCGAAAGAGCGCGACTTTCTCTACACGATAGTATGCAGACGAGTTCAGTTTCAGGAGTAACAGAGATTTGGCGGATGGGGTAACAGAACGCAACCTTAGAGGTGATTGGAGTGAAGGCTCTTATCAACGCCAGAACAGTCTTAAAGCTCCGAAATGGATCCGTTACAAAAAAGTTAGCAGTTTTGAACTTCCAGGATAGAACTGGTGGCGAAAGGAGCTTTGCTCAACTTCAACTAAAAAATCCTCAGCCTACAACTGAAGCTGCGTTTCATCACCCCATCCGTCAAATCTTCGGGATTTCCCAAACCCACCTCTTGCAAACCGTCGTGTAGAGAAAGTCGCGCTCTTTCGAATGAGCCTATTTGCAGGCTCGTAGATTGACTGCCGGCCGAGCTAGAAGCCTGCAAAGCGGTGCAAGTCAGTGGTGAGGTGCAGGTGGGGTCATGTGCACTCACTTTCAAGAGTCATTTTCAGCAAAGAAACTCTACAGCACACGTCGAATGCATAGAAGGTGTCAAAAAACATCCATTTCATCCAATTAGCTTTGTTGGGATATCTTGAATAGGTTCCCATGTGGAGAAATTTGGCTTAAAAAGGGGAATTACAAGTTATTTTTGAAAAAAAAAGCAAAATAAAATTCAAGCTTGGGTTTTTTGGAAGTGACCACTGCCCGATTGTTGTTTTTGATGAGCTCTACAACATAGTATGCTTACCTGTCCGGAAAACTTCTGTTTTAGCTTCAAGAAAAGACCTAAAAGAAATTTTTCGCATTCGAAGAATTAATGTCCGCGACATTGTGACGCGGCCATTTTCGGACTTTTTTTAGGAAAAGATTTTTGAAATTTTTATAATAAATATTTTCCAGAAAGCGCAATGTGTGGTTGTAGCTCTTGAAGAGCTCTATCACCTCATGCAATTCAATCATTTTTTCATCCTTGTTTTCCATCCGAAAATGAGCGATGAAAAAAGGAAGCCGGCTTGTCCGCAACTTTTTGGCGGTCACTGTATCTTCCTGAAAACACATTGAAAACGCGGTAAAACTGCACTGAAGATATACTACGGCACTGCCAAGCATGTATGTATGTAATAGAAATAAGTGAAATCTCAGGATTTCGAAATCTATGGTGAACCGCTGCTCGCGAACTGGGGATTATCGTAAAATTCACAATTTTCAAGTCCCATTTCTCCTGTCGAAAACATGCTCAGCAGTGACATAATATATCCTCGGTACAACTTTACCGCTCCTTCACTGAGTTTTCTGAAAGATAAATGAAAAAAGTGAGAAGTTAAAATGAGAAGTGATCTCCCAGGGATCCCCAAGGATCACCCAAAATAGTGAAATTCTAATCTTTTATGCCAGTAAATGGCATCCATTATGGTCAGCCGGGGTATGAGAACTTTCTTAAATCATATAGAGAAAGAAGAAGAAAGATATCTAGATTAGGGAGATATGACGCGTCCCTCTCAGATCTCCTTTTCCCGCGGGGATGTACGTGCGTGCATACGGGTCTTACAATTAGCTGGTTTTACCTACGAAGTTGCTCTCTTCGAAATTTCCTTGTTCTTATCGGTATCCACTGGAAGGGTTCACAGTCCCAATTCTGATATACTCATTCCATTCATATAACGCCACTAGAAGAACTTTCGCTTTTGGTAACCAAAAATATTACATTGTCTCAATTGTGCAAATCAACAGCTTTGCACAACGATAGGTGAGTCCGCGCCGGAGAAGAAGAAATATCATGAAAAGCAGGAGAGGAAGACATTGTAAAGAAGAATATGGCTTTGGCCACACGTGGCCCAACAATCTCACGGTATCGAAAAGTAATCACTACTTGATGAAAATTTTCCTAGAGCAAATTATCCATTTTTTTATCATTTCGGATTTTAGTGCTCAGAAGAGACTACGGATTTCTCAGTGCTATAAATGAACATTGCAACTGGTTCTGCTAATGTGTTCTCAAATGGAGATATTTTATTGCCATTTTGAGCAAAAAATACCCCCTCCCCTCTCCGATAGAGGATTATATTAGGTCGTTCCGAAAGTAATGTCGCTTTTTTCAATTGAACGCTACACTTCGTGGAAGCAAGGTTTCTAGGAGATCTTGGTAGCATTCGATGCAGCATTTCATCCTCTTTTCAATGGCTATAACTTCACTGCAGAATACTTGATGAGCTTTTGAAAAATTACTAAAATCTCCAACCCATGCTTTTTGGGAAGGTCAAGTTTCACAATTTTTCTAATTTTTTTAAATAACTCCCGGAAGGAGTCCAAGTAATGGATGGATAGAGCAAACGCTATAGGAAACGGTGCTATTTTTTTCTGCTTTCCGTATCTCGTCATAATTTTTGTAAAGATTTTTCAATGAAGTCACCGAATTTTTGCAGGCTTGTCTCAAACACATATGCATCAAACACCAATAAACTTTCGGATTCTAAAACTTACAAAGGTGGATTATGGTTTAACACTAATTTTACAAAGCATATGAGCGTTTACCGCTTCAGATTAGCAACTTTCGGAAATTTTGAGTACAGCCTGGGGCGCCCTGGAAAGCCTAAATTATGATGATTTTTCCCCGGAAAACTTTATGAATCGGAAACCAAAAACAACTGGTAAAAAGAGGAGAAAAAGCTGCGTTGAATGACACCCGAGTTGCTTGCCGGTTGTTGTTCTGTGAGGTCTGAGTTGACCAAATATGGAATTTGACAGCATTGAAAAATTGGTTCTACAAACTCTAAGAAGCAAACTAAGGAAAAGAAAAAATTGTTTTGTGTCCTATAGGGTTTGCTCTATTTATCTGTTGCTTGTACATCTTCGGGGAATCAGTACAAGAATATAGAAAAATAGCCGAACTTGACCATGACAAAAAGCATAAGTCACAGGTTTTAGTAATTTTTTGAGAGCTATTGAATATTTTCCAATGAGATTACAACCATTGAAGAGAGGACGAAATTCTGCATCGACTGATCACAAGAGCTCTTGAAAATCTTGGTTCCACGAAATGTGGCGTTCATTTGAAAAAAAGCGACATTACTTTCGGAACGACCTAATATTTCGCCGAAAGGGGGTAGGGGAACGAAAGCCGCCAGTTGGAGCCGCCTTTTGCGGCTAACTGGTCCTTTCGCAACGTTGTTGCATGTCGTTCCAGGACCAGCAGTCCGCGCAGGCGACCGAAGCTGGCGGCTTTCGTTCCCCTACCCGCCGAAAGGGGGCGGCCCCCGCGGTTATGTGCAACAAACACGCAATCTTGCACATGCATGCACATGCACGGAGGTGCGTTTTTGCAAGAAGTGAGCGCAGGACCCACCCTGATACGTCGACAATGTCCTCCACCCCTCCCTCTCCCACCTAGTTGCTAATGCGCATTGCTTGTGATTCGATCGTCAAGTAGAGCGTGCTCGAGGTGAACACGTATAGCATAGCTGATTTTGGCGGTTGAGATAAATATCGTGTTGCGACATCTTTTGCGCATAAACAGTGGTAATATGCGCTCCATGAAAAGTTACACATTGATGTATTTGTTCTCGCGCAAATGTTGTCATCACCGCAAGTGAACCATTGCAGTGAAACCTACTATACTGCATAAGATTCACATTCAATGTATCTCTACTAAGCACATAGCTCTTTCAATTCAAGTTCAATCTAATTCGAGTTGGAATTAGGTAATGCCAATGTGGTCTTCAACAAACGAGAAGCCGATATTGCTTGCTTCAAGGTTACGTGTTCTGCCTGAATATTTCTCTCATTTCATTATAGAGTAATTCTGTCGGCTTATTGTTTGCTAGCCAAACAGTCTCAATTTGACCACATAGAATTTCTTACACAAACTTGCTTGACTATACTGCTTAGAATAGTGGGATAAATCAGGTTTGAAATAAAGTATGGAAGCCTGCCTTCTTTTGACTTTTTTGAACTTCTTATCAAGATTTAGTTGTCAATTTTTTCGATTATGTTGCCTGACAGGAGACATTTTGAAGTAAAGCAAAAAATGCTATAACACCATCTATAGCATCGAACTTCAAAAAAAAACGCCAAAACCTGAAGTCAAAACTGCTTTCACCAAACTGTAGCCGGGTTTACCGTCGACTTGACATCGTAAATATGCAGAAAAATTACTTTGTAGTGGGATTAGAACGCTGTAATCGTCACATGAACACATTAAATCTATTTACTGAGTATGTTAGGAAAATACTGATTTGTGCTAGCTGTAGTAGATGTTTGTAAACTTGTCTATTCAGAATAGCGTCTATAACCAGATATGGTATGGACTAGAATAACGTGTTATCGCGACCTTCTTTCACCACGACTCTTCTTCCAGTGGGCACACACCTAAATCAGAAAAAAAATTACATGTGAATATGTAGTACTGGTGTTACCTGAATATTTGCAAATCCAGTCCAAATTCGCACGCACGTCAGTATAATAGTCTATCATATCTGCAAAAATGGAAGAAAATAAGTTATCCGAACCTATTATTGGCGTACTTCTGTTGTGCTGATTGCAATCGCCTATACTGTGACTATTAATCCCTACAAGAATGTGACGTCCCTCTTCTTTCACTTAAAACAGCGGACCTCCACTATCTCCCTGAATTTTAGCAGTTTCAGCTGAAAGAGAAGGATAGAATGTGACTGGTATAACATAACTGGACATGTTCCCTTTGCAAAAGTCACGGTTTCAACTTGGTGCAGTAACTGATCGACTGCGTAATAGCGAAGTGCTACTACTTGCTGTCCATGTGCATGATCGCCCTTCGGATTGTCAAAAGTTATAGGGCTTGAAGCTAAAACTAATGATGTGTAAGAAGTGCCAGACTGATACGGGTTGCTTAATTTGAAGCTGCTTGCACAGGCGTAGGTCTTTGAACCGCTTGCGAGACTTAGCGAATAAGAACTAAGTATCATCAGATAGTCAGCGAAAACATTCTGGTTTGGAGCTTTTAGTGTGTCTGTACCTGCACCTATCATCGTGATGGACATGATAGGTGTACGGAAGTAAACCAACATCTTTGCATGTACAGCTCACTCGATTCGCCGCTTTGCCACAAACACGGCAAATCGCCCCGACGTGACCAGTCAGAGGAGCACAGCTATGGCGAGCGGTTCAAAAGACCACCCCCTTACAAACACCTTCACTCAGTGGCGTACCCAGGATTTCCTCCGGGGTGGGGGGGGGGGGCAAAAAAATTTTTCGGATGAAGGTGCCTAGCGTTAGTCACGCATCCAAAGAATTTTTTGGGATACTTTCCAAAATTTTTGCGGCTTCTGACCCCAAAATTTAAGAAGAAGGATCGTGGCGGCAGCCACGCTCTTTTTACAAGGCTAATTTAAATTCTTAGAAATTTTTAAAAATTATTGTAATTTTTACAAGTAAAAGCAACTCGCTTGCACATTTTAATAAAACATTTGAGTAACTTTCAAAAATTTCGCGACCCATTCTCGAGGGCCCCCTCCCCCTGGCCCTTCCTCGGTACGCCACTGCCTTCACTGTATTTTGTTTTATTAAAGGGTAGTTCTGCTTCTTCGCTCACGATCGGATCCGATGCCGGTTGCGTAGAGAACAGGATTCAGTGGCAAACCATCATCTGGCATGCAAATCGGTGTCGAGTCTCTTTCCGAGATATTTTGGCTGAGTTCAATGAGTGCCAAATCATCATTTTTCTCACACATGTTCAATTTCTTTGCTACGATCTAAAGCATCTGAATTAGATCAGACAACATCCAACATAAAAATTTGCCTTTTTCGCTCTATACGGAGTTTTAGTGGTTTGGCAAAGATAAGTGTAGCAATGCATTTTTCCTCCGCCTATGAGGACAGACATCTCTTCTGGATTCGCTAGTACAGAAACAATGCTAAATTTTCATAGACATATATTACAGTAGTCATCGCGTGGTAAGGTATCGTGGTATCGTGTGCTACCTTCCTCAAAAATGAGACTGCTGCCAACCTCTGTGATTGGTTAATGACGCACAACTCTTGGCTCTTTTCAATGTCGAACTGCAAAACACAGTGAGCAGCTGTCAGAATATGTCTAGGAGATATCTGTACGCCACTGCACAGAGCTTTTCCTGAAAAAGAATGTGGATGGTCACATACCGGTACTCTAACAGCACAATACGTATCGTACCACGTCTCAAAACCACAGTCCAAGGATACTCATTTTCTTCAAATTCTCGGCCTCCGTAAGACTTTTTGACCAAACGATTTTTTTGAAGTGGCTGCCCTGAAATTCCCAAAAATAACAGACATGTACAAATCAGTGAACAGAGTAAAGTGTGTACCTACCTAGAAATTGAACGCCACAGTTTTTGTTGTTAAGCTCATTCTCCTCCGTTGTAAGTTTTTGACTTCGAATCTGTGAGCTTATAAGGAATAGAAGAAGAAATGGTGCTACCATGATCACTCAGACAAACGGGGGGAAGTTCCGGCGAACATTGAAGAAAGTTTCGGCGGGTCACCTGGGGAACTCCATTGTAAGTTCGTGGGAACTCCATTCTAAGTTCCTGGGAACTTCAGCTCTAAAGCTCTCGGGAACTTCGTCTAAGATTGTAGTTCGCCGGAACTTCTTCATCCAAAGTTCTCGGAAAGTTCCCAAAAGACTGTAGTTCACGGGAACTTCTTTAATTGAAGTTCTCGAGAACTTCTTGCTTTATCCCCCGGAATCCCATCTAAAATGGTCACCTAATGACCACTTCTAATGCGATTGCCATAAAGAACATCTATATATTTATTCTATATATTTTTTAACGATGAAATGTTTGTTTAACACTTAACATAAAAACTTCATCGAATAATTGAACACATAACAACACGTGATGAGTATTCAGATATCAACATTGATAAAAGGAACAATATTGTTTTCACGGCTGACTGCCTAAGTTCTCATTGCTGACGTCTAACAAGGAAAGGAAGGTGGGTCGAAGTGGCCTTTCAGAATGAGGTGGGTATCATCTTGTGGGGCTTCTAACGCTGATTTCAAATCTGCCTTCCTTATCTGCGGCGCGTTTTTGGGCGAGGAGTTATGAGGGTTTTTAGGGGGCGGAAGTCGATACAAGTACAATCAAGGACAGTACACCGCTGTGTGCCGTATGGTGCAGTGGTTAATGTGGTGGTCTTGCACGCAGAGGATCCCAGGTTCGAATCTCCTGTTGTGGTTCTCCTTTTGCTGGTCTAGAAAATTTCGTATGAGCACGCGTATCGTCTGTACATCACCTCTTCCTTCTTTTAACTGCAAATCCCTTCAAAAAAGTTTCATTACTCTATGTTTTCAAACGTCTATGTGCACTGATGAAAGGGGAGGACAAAATGTTTAAAACATAGGCAATTTTCACAATGAGAGCAACGAATGAAGACTACTTCTGAACAATCCGAATGGTCACAGTCTCCTAAAATTGGAAGGGAAACAGTACTGTGCAGGCGTTTCAAAATCTCCCGGATGTGCATCAAGGTAGCCGCTAGCGTACCAGGAATAAGCTGAACACTGCCGAATATGTTGACAACATTGTGACCTCATACGTTCACCGGGGTGTTACGTGACAAATTGGTTCTTTTGATATTTCTACCCCACTTCAAATCACTTGCAAAGCCTTCAAAAGAACAGTTGTTGCCTCGAGATTCTGATAAAAGAACCAGGGGGTGGTGTATGGACGCTGCCCATGTTCATACAAATTTTTTAAGGCCAGCAAAAAGAAAACCACAACAGGAGATTCGAACCTGGGAGCCTCCACCTGCAAGACGAACACACTAACCATTACACCAGACGGCACACATCGATGTGCTGTCTTTGATTGTACTTGTATCGACTTCCGCCCCCCCCCCCCCCTAAAAACCCTCATAACTCCTTGCCCAAAAAAGCGCCGCAGATAAGGAAGGCAGATTTGAAACCAGCGTTCGAAGCCCTACAAGTTGATATCCACCTCATTCTGAAAGGCCACTTCGACCCACCTTCCTTCCCTTGTAAGTTTGCTTTCCAAGCCTCCGTGCTCATTGTCTCTTTGTCGGTGCGTCCAAGTCCGACAAGGGCACCCTTCGATTTCTGAAAGAATATATGTGAATAGAGATAGGAGAAAGCGGATTCTAACCCACCTTCGGTGGAACAAGACGACCTTCGTGCAGGCGATAGTAGCGCACATCCTCGCTAAAAATAGAAACTACCGTTTTACGATGGCGTAATGTAGCAGTGGTGGACTTACAGCGCTTCAGCAATGCATGTTTTTGCGCTCACGCTCCATCTCGACTTTTTCTCCAACAGCGAATTGAAAGCTTTTTCACGTCCCTGCTCCGTTTCAGCTAACGACAGCCAAAAACTAAAAAAAAATTTCAGCGCCTAAAATGGTTATTGTAGATATAGACAGCACCTGTTTTGTGAGTTCTTTAGCAAATGCAGCCTCGTTCCATAAAGTTCGTTGTGATTCAAATCCAAAGCACCCAAAATGAACTCTGTTTTGTTGCTTAACCCCTTTCAGCTGTAAATTACCTTCACCTGTAAGCGCATCAAGAATAGAATCGGGTAGATTGATTAAATCCGTCCTTCGAGCGACTTTTGAAACACGATACGCGTAGTTCCAGAAATCAGAAGGATCGGGTGCGCAGATCTAAGTGTAGGTTACGAGGTTACGTGATGGTCATTTTGTATCCAGAGTTGTGTACGCACCTCTTTAAACAGAATTCGCAAAAAGTCGATGACTTCACTGGTAACGTCGTTTTTTACTCTTTTTGGAGGGGCGTACTTTCTTAGAAATTCATTCAAATTGACTTCCTACAAATAAGATTTGACGAATTTTTTGCAACAGTTAGTTTCTAAAAGCCTTGAATGGCGGATGAAGGCGAATGAGGTGGTCTTCTCTCAAATTTTCTTACTTGAATTCGCTAGACGTATCGGAGAGAGGGCGTTTGACACTGAGGATCTGTTTCTGTCTGTCCACCTCATCCTCCAGTGCTCTGTTTTTTGCCAGATGCAAGTTCATCTATATTGCCAATGTTTTTCATTTCTTTTTGAAAAAGTTGTAGTGGATCTCGCCTCGACACGATTCGCGATCACTATCTCCACGAGCAGACGATTTGTTTCGGTGGTGTCGTAGAAGTTTCCTAATCGCGAGCGCTCCGCACTTTGCACCACACTAGAAATATCTGCCATGTCGAACTGTCTGATCGGTCGAAAGCAATGGTGCAAAGTTTTCTATGAAATTCTACTTTCGAAGACCACCGCCACGGAAACGCTATGTTGCCTGCATGGACACGGTATTCAGCGGTCCTCCTCTTACAAACGTTGCGTACAGAACTGCGGAAAAATCGGAACTTCCCACTTCGCGCGCAGGGCAGCTTCTTCTTATAGCCTCTAGAAATTTACCAATTTTCTACTGTGCGGTTTGTTACGTTTGACAGACCTAGCGGCTCAGAGAGCGCAGGTGGTGGTGTCTGCTGTGGTGGTGCGCGAGCAGAGTGTGAGTTCCTTTCCGAGTCAACTAAATGACTAACGCATTCACAGCGTTAGTACGCAAGGAAATTTTCACTCACATTGAAGCGGTTGCGATGGAGTTCTACACTCCTCCGCATAGTCGAGGGGCATGTCGAACTGGCTTTCTACATCGTATTCCTATGAAAAAATTGGCCTCAGATTTATCCAATCATTTGATATCAATCTATAGCTTATCAACTTTTCAAAGGTTGTGTTACCGAGCTAAAAGTAAGTACGCAGGAAAACTTCCAAACTTTGACATGAGATGCCAGGGAGCTTATAACCGTAACGAGCGCCCTTACTTACCCCTGGATACCAACTCCCAGCCCCGTGGGCTCTAAGTTTTGATAAAAACTGATGAACTGTTAAGAGCCACTATCTATTTCGTGATCAGTACCCTCGCCTACCCCCGGGTAGCAACTTCCAGCTACAAGTTTGGAAGAAGTGACAAACTGATAAGCGATCAGAATTTCCAAACGGCCAAACTGATTGTCCCGTTGTTAAAAGCATCAGTCCTAGAAACATTCCCTTTCCCCCACTCATTCCCTCCCCTCCTCCTTCTATACTCATAAAGTATCTGTATCAAGCATTAGAACTGTTAAGCGACTTCAACCCCCTTCTCATCCTAACCCCGAATTTGTGAACATGCTACAACTTACTCTGTACAAGGGCCTCAATGGGCGAAGTTCCGTGTATGTGCGCCTTGGAGTAGATGTTGAAGGCAGATTTTCGTCGGCCATGATACCTAAACATACTACAATGAAAGAGATCAAGTTGACGTGAAAGCTAGCTCACCGGATCTTCTTTTGCCACTAACTCTTGCGTCGGAATCTGGAAATGAGCTTTAGCAGACACAACTAGGAGCAAAGCTTAAGTAAGATGCGGAGTGTACCCTCACAAGAGTGATGCACAGTACAAAGCAAAGGTTTTAATGACAATAACTACAACATTTGTACAAATCTATATGCGCAACGCAAAACCGCCAGATGTTACCATCGTTTTCTGTTCTTTTCGTAAATGGCATAGAGAGTTTCTCATGATTCCAATCCCCTCTCAGACCGGTGTTCGCCGTGTTGCCGGTGTTCGCAGTGTTCGCCGTGTTGCCAGTGTTTGCGGTGTTCGCCGTGTTCGCAGTATAGCCAGGGTGTATGCAATGTACGCAGTGAGCACCAGGTACACCTTGAATGACGCCTAGGAAAATCAGAATTTCTGATTTCGTCCAGATAATCGCATTTTCTTGTGGTTGTGAGAACACGGGCAACACCGCGAACGGCAACCCATGGCCGAAGCCTTTGGTGGCTAGATTAGTAGTGGTAAGAGTTCCATTCTTTCTTTCCTAGTATGTGAAATTCTTTTTCATTTTGTATTAGACAAAGCGCAATGTTCGCTAAATGTTACCATCGTTTTGTGTTCTTTTTAAATAGTATAGAGAGTTCATCGGTTCCCAAATTCGTGTGGAGGCGGGTTGCGGACTTCCCTGATTTTCAGGATAAACTTGTTAAACCTCCACGTTAGAGCATTGAATTTCGTGCTCTCTCGTTTAGCTTATCCTTGAAATCAGGGAAGTCCGTGACCTGCCTCGACACGAATGTGGGAGCCGATCATATATGTAGACGCACTATTCATTTCACTGCTTATTGGTAAGACCTAAAGTTAAAAACAGTCTGCTTGCAAAGAAGAGTATGACTGAAAAATAGGATTAAAAATTCGGGTCCTCTGCAGTTTGTCAAAATGCAAGAAGAGATTTACAAACTTTACAACATGGTGATCAGTTGGTGGAATTGACTTTTTTGGTGAAAGTGACTTTAACCAGAACAATTTTTGTAATCAAGAGTTGACGTGAAAAAATGACGTCAAGATAGCAACATTCTATGGATTACATGAACATGATCAGCCACATAAATATCTGCATGAGTGATTTCATCAAACCCCTGAAGCTTGGTAA